ATGAATTCGCGGAGGGATGTCGTCACCGTTGAGGGGACGAGCTGTGACTCCGACCTTGCTGACTCCGGAGGCGCGTGCCTCGCCTCACGCCCTCCCTCCGGGACGAGGTGCGGCGCGCCACCACCGCCTGTGACGCTCACCATAACACGGTGACAATGTACCAGCTGTCGAAGCTTAAGGACGCAGAAGCCCAGTACGGCGAGCTTAACGTTCTCAAAGGCGCAGCGGTTCCGAGGCAGCTCCTAAGAGCACGGAGTTTTGCGGGGCGTTGCGCAGTAAATCTCCACCCGCCCAGCGTGCTGTGCTGCCCGGGATGCTGAGGATGGAGACTAACGCAGCTGTCCTTCTAGGGCTCAACTGAGAATCCAGCCCTGGGGCAGCACTGTGGATACTCACAGTTACAGCGAGTGTCAGTCGAACTTGAACACCTGTTGTCAGATCATATCTGGGCCACTGAAGGGCTTAATTCTGCCACTTGATTCAGCGATGTTCTCGAGCGCCAGGCACCGTGCACAGGCACTGTACCCGGGCTCACACAGGAATTCGGGGAAACAGGAGGCAGGGAAGAATGACAGATCCATCCTGGCAGGACACAAGTGCAGCAGGGTTAGCGGAGGGAAACAGAACATCAGAACAGGTGGCGTTTCTCACGGACGTGCCAGAGGTGAAGGGGAAAAGGCAGGTGTTCCACGGAGCGCTGCTGGTGACGGTAGATTCTTGCTCAGAGTTTTGATGTGGAAAGAATTAATCAGTGACGTGTTTTTTAGAGTCCAGTTTATCTTTGATCCTCTAGAGCCCGTGGGATCTGAAAGGATAGTTCACAATTCAGCTAAGGAGTTCTGTTTTCCTGCTACAGAAGTGCAATGGCATCGACAGTAAGAGGATGTTTTTTTTTTCCCTAATCTCCAGCTGCACACAGAAGAAACTGGGATTGAGAGGCGGTAGTGTGGTGGTTTTACCTCTTGGCAACGTCTGAGTAGCTGAGTGATTTAGGATAAGGCACTTTACTTCTCATGCCCTTCCTCCTACGGATATTAAGATTAAATGAGTTAATACATGAAAAGCCCTTAGAAGAGTGCATGGCACGCAGCAGCACTCAATAAACGTTGCAAATTGTTAATGCATAGTTAAAGATGCCATGTATTGTGAAACTGCTCTATTATAATGGTGGATACATATCATTGTGCATTTGTCAAAACCCATACAATATACAACACCAAGAGTTAACCCCAGTGTAAAGTATGGACTTTGGGTGATGATGATGGGTCAGTGTAGATTTACTGTTAACAAATTTACTACTGTGGTGCCGAACCATAGTAGGAGAGGTTGGCATGTGTGGGTACAGGGGAAAAATGGAACTCTGCACTTTCTGCTCAATTTTGCTGTGAACCTAAAACTCTAAAAAATAAAGAGATGCCACGTATCACTTTTTTCTATTATTGAAATGTTATAGTTATAGCACTTTACAGGTTTCAGTAGAACCCTTGAGAACATTATCTCATACTAGTCTCACAACTTTGAACTGAGTAGGGCAGAAGGACGGGCGTGGCTATTTTACAGCGGACGCTTAAACTCAAGTCTTTCAGTAGAGTCCGTTAGACACCATTTAAAAAAGCTAGTCCGAAATTTTCTGATTCAGGATTCAGGGTATGTTTAACAGCTTTCTTCCCCCTATTTAATACACACTGTTCTGTTTTTAATTTTTTAGTTGTTTTAACCTAAAGTCACACCATCTACTTGTCAGTGGATCAGGCAAACCTAATGTCATTTGAAACTGGCACAGGTCCTTGAAAGAAGTTGGTGTGTTAGTTTTCACGATTAAGCAATATGTGAGCTCCTTTATCTCAGAGCAGCAGCTGTCCTGTGATGTAAAAATGAGGCGGGTGTGGGAAATGGAGTTTGCAAACTGTAGCCACTTTTAGATTTCCATTAATACGTTAAAGAAATTACAATAGGGAAATGTTCAACACTGCACTTACAGAATTTAGTTTCACAGTTCTATGCATTTTAAAGAGTGTTTGCTCAGTGTGATTTCACTTGATCCTTATGACTCTGTGGAAGAGCAGGTATTATTCCCATTTTATAGGAATAGAAACTGAACTTCCCAAGGTTAGGGGGATTGCCACCCAGCTGGAAAACTGGCAGGGCCAGCCTCTCTACCTAAGTCTGGAATTCCACTCAGTGAAAAGTGTGCGAAGTTTTTGCCTGCTGCTGTCCAAACGCACCTGCTTTCAAAGAAGAAAGCTTACAGCTTAATAGGGTTTTGTTAAATTTTGTTTTCAATATATACACATATTTCTTTTGCTTATAACACTGTAAACTCTTTTGACCTATCTATTCAGGATTTTTCCACTCAGGAAAGATTTTTTTAAAGATGGAAGCCATTTGTGAAACCCATTTCAAGATTTAAAAAATAACTAAAGTTATCCAAGAACATTTAAAAAACATCTTGAAACCTACACATTGCTGATACTATATACACTAAGCGAGACTGAAAATGTGCAGATTGGGGTCACTGGACCACTGCTATAAAAAATATTATTTTTTGTTCTGAGAAGGTGGTAAGGAGAACCTTGGTAGTGGGGCATTGGTGGAACTTAAGACAAACAGGCCAGCTGCACTCAAAAGATAGCCACGCCCTGGAAGCTGGACTTGGCATGGAGCAGATGCCCCTGTCCCCTAGCTGGAGCACTGAGAAGGGGCTGTGACCAGTATACAAGAATCAAGGGCAATCCATTTTTCAGGTCTGCTGGCAAATGCTCATTGTCCCACAGATCCAGTGAGGAATCAAAAATAAAACAACCCCCCCCAGTACTTTGGGCAGAATCTACTATGGGAAGCAGAATAAAATGTAGGAAACTTTTAACATCCTTAAAAGGATAGGAAAAAACATGGTTTCTGTGAAAAAGAAGCGAACATAAGTGTAAACTAAAGGAATGAGAAGAAAAGAAAGGTGGGTGAAGTAAGCTGAAGAAAATTATAAAAGCAATAACAAAATTCCTGTTAGAAACAAAAAGCAGCAGAATGACACTAAAAATCAAGCCAGTCACATGGAGATTATACTTGAGAAGTTTTCCTAGCATGAAGAAAAGAAAGGAGATGACAGAGGAAGGAACACCGAGAAAAGACGTTTCTGAGAAAAAATTAAGAACGTAAAATACTTTCTCAAACTGAAAAAAGAGTAGGAAGATAAACTGGATTCACTTTTAAGACAGAAGTCACTGGAGAGACATATTTCTAGACTGAGGCAATTTTCTTTCTTAATTATAGGGATAAATTAAAAACACAGAAGCACCCAAGCAGAAAAATTAAAACCTACAAGAAAACAAAAATTATGCTGGTCTCGGATTTCTGCTATAATGCCAGAAGACAACAGAACAGCATCAATAGGCTTTTCAAAGAAAGGGTGACAAGAAGGCAAGAGAAGGACTCAGAAGAGGAGCAGCAGAGAAAGTCACATAGCCAGCGTCAGCCCAGCTTGTGTAACTCATGAGTGTGGTGTGTTCACACTAAGGAATGATCATTAATTTTTTCTACCACAACTTCCAAATTTTAAAGTTCTTGATTTTGATGATTCTCCTTCAGCTTGAATATGTTTTTGAGTAATTTTTTAAAAAGAAGGGCACCTAGGTGTGTGTCTTGTGAGTGCTCTCACATCCAGGAATGCCTGCCCAGCAAACACTTTGGCAGCCCTCCCTGTGGATTCAGCCCCCTCAATCTGTGCCTTTTATTTGAGCAATACCAGCGCCTGGCATGTATCGGGTGTCAACAAACACCAATGATCACAAGAGCACAAGCCAAGGGAACTAGCTCTGTGCACATTCTGTCAAAGAGGAGCAGATTTGTATTGTCTTTACTCCTTAATCTATTTTCCTTATGAAATTTAGGACTCTTTCACTAGAAAATAATGTGGATAAAATTACACATTGAAATTTTGATTTTATTTCAAAATGATAAACCGAGGCATAGTTCTGACCATGTACTACTTCGGAAGGGCTTGTGAAATACAGAAACAGTCCCATGAAGGCTCCAATCTGACCCAGAATGATACCAGCCAAACCTGTGATTGGCAGAGATAGCCTCTTTGATCTTCAGGGATTTTTAGAAGTTCTCCACCTTAATTTCTGATTATCATAAAATGTAAAAAGCACTTTTGTCATTTTTTTCTTTGAAAATGTTTTTAGCGGCAAACAGAACGACTTGTTTTCCTTACTTCATTTTTATGAGCATAGCAGTTATATGTCAGCTTACTTAAAATTAGAGAGGGAAAAACCCAGAGACTTCTCAGTGGCACTGCTCATCCACTGAAGGTTCTCATAAATACTCATTTTCATGTTATCACTTCTACAAAGAGCAATAAAATAATGTTTGTAATTCATAAGTACAGTAGTAGCAGTTCACATATATTTGATACGCTTTCACACAAGGATTCAGTAAACGACAATAAATATAATTTCCCCTCTTCAAAACAAAAAAGAGTTTTAAAGGGAAAAAGGGGTTAATTTACTTGGGGTTTATTAGCACACCAGTTTTAGTGTGCTTTGAAAGAATTAAAAACCATGAAACTGTATTCACTGAATACTGGCCCACAGTTACATTTTTTTCTTTTAACCTGTTTAAACACATACATCATGGCTTTCTATTAAAAACTTTAAATCTATGGGGATTTGTCGTAGATAACACTATATTAAAAATTTTTTTCCTCATTAACAATTTCATTAAATTAAAAAAAAAATCTGACATTTCCCTTAAATGTTAAATTGAAGCCTGATCTATGCTGCCGTGTCCTGTAAAATGAACCTAATTTTCCAAGTGAATAGGAACGCCTGAGTGGTCATTTAGAGAGCTGCATTTTCCTTCCCTCATGATTCCTGCTGGGTCCTCTTCGCTGAGGCTTTTCCCTGAGTCATATATTTACTGGAAAGGCTACCTAGAGAAGGGGAAAGAAAACAAAACCCAATATAAATCAAACCAGCCTCACTTTATCGCAAAAGCCATAAAATTACTACGTATCGTTAATTATTCACAGAAACTTTTCACATTGGAATTGGTCACTTGTTTTGAATCAAGTAATTAGGATAGAGATATATCTATGTATCGAGCATATATGAACATGAGCTATTAAAGTAAGCTTAGACAACATTCTTTGTTAATGTAGACAAGTTGCCAGAGTGACAGCATTTTAATGCATTTGCATGTTCACTATTTCCATGATGCAGAGGGCTAGGTGAACCCAACTTTTAAAAAGTTCTACTTTGCATAGATCAGTGTCTTCATTTGCAACCATTCTTTGCAAAGAATTCTCGGGCCAGAAATACATATCTTGCATCATTACTCTGCAGATATGAAGTTGTGAATGGTGACACTGTAGTATTAACATATTGATATAAAAGGATGTAAAAGGAAACATTATATTTAAAGGTGAAGGGAGGGATATGGGAATTACTAATTAAAACCATACCGCAGATCAGTTACTAAATTTTGCTCTGGAGTCTGAACAAAAAGATGAGTGAAACAGAAGAGAGTTGGGAACTTCTTAAGTGATTATGTATAACTAACTAGATGAAAGCTTTGTTTCAAACCAATGAGGGAAAGCATGAACTATTCAATAACCGATATTATGTCAGGTAAGTAATTATGGGGGGAGGGGGAGAAAAGGGATTTAGTTTCCTTCCTTGCACCATGTCCTTCTTCTCCATCCATTCCCAAATGAATTACAGAATTAACTGTAAGTATAAGAAAGACAAAGTATAAGAAGTAGTGAATATTTACATAATTGTGAGGTAGGGAAGAGTCTCCTAGGCACACCACTATACTAAAGGGCTTACAAGTCAATAGGGGAAAGATAAACACTAATAGGGTAACTGGGTAAAGGAAAAACAATATATGAAAGAGAAAAAAAAAAAGGTATGTGAAAAAAATTCAATATCAATGGGTAACCAAAGAAATACAAACGAAAACAAGATACCAATTTTTGATTATCAAATTGTTAGAAGAAAGAAAATCATGAAGACAGGGAGGTGGATAAAACTTTTGCTCAGTGAGAGCATTCACAGAAACCTTATAATAACTTAAGAATGCAAACAACTTAGATATCCAAAACTTGTGATATGACTAAGTATATTATGGACCATGCACACAAGAGAATACTGGGTATGTATAGACGGATAATTAATAATATGAAAAAATCAAGTTATAAAATTACATGAGTAGCATTTTCATAAAAATTAAAAGCAAACAAAAAACCTCACCAATCATCATAATAAGGACAATATTACTCACCCCCTTGGAGATATTGTAAAGATTAAATGAATTAATACATGTAAAGCAACTGGAACAGCATCTGGCACATAGAAAGTGCCCAATAAATGTTAACTATTATTATTACATTGATGGAAAAAGACAGGAAAACTTTACCTCTAAAACCTACATAATGCTAGAATGGAAGGAATATAGATGGTTTTAATTTTCTTCTTTTTGCTTATACTTTCTAAATTTTCTAAAGCAAACATACTAGGTATTCAAATAAAAATATTCCCCCCAAATGCATATTTTTCAAAGCATCTAGACAATCACCTCACGCAGTGAAAAATATCAGTCAGGAAATTTAGTAATATCAGTCAGGAAGAAAACAAAGCACTCTACTGCAGTCATTTATACCCCAGAGAATTCATGATATTCTGAACTGCACTAAATATCGTGATCGAGCTTTTCACTAGAGGGAGAAAAGTTTAAATCACCACCCCATAGTTTATATGCCTATGAACTCCAGATGGATTAAAGATCTAAATAGGAAAAATAAAGTTTTAAAGCTATTAGAAGAAAAATAAAGATGGGTATCTTTCTGACCTCAGGTGAGAGAAAAATTTCTTAGAGATGACCCTAAAACATGAACCATGTGACCATGAAAATTAATCATAAAAAATTACTAATTTGATTATTTCAAAATTAAAAACTTTGGAGTGGCAATAAACAAAAATTTGAAACAATATACACTGGAGGAAGATATTTGGAATGTATATAATAATAAAAGGGCAGAATTCAGAATAAATGAAGAGCTCTTACAAATTAATGAGGAAATGAGAGATAATTCAACAATAATGGGCAAATGATATAACAGGCAATTGACAGAAGAATTCCAAGTGGTCAATAAACATATAAAAATGTGCTTAGCATCACCAGAGTTAAGAAAATATACCTAACATCAAAGTAGTTTTCATCCATCAGACTTTTGAAAATAAAAATTCTGACAAAATCAAGTATGTGCAAGGATATGTGGAAATAACCTACACAGTGCTGGTGGGAGCTGCAATTGTTTCAACCAAGAAGGTAATTTGATTGTATCTAGCTAAAATGCTCATATGCTCTGACCTAACAATTTGACTGTAGAATACATATGTTAATGGATACATACGTAAGAGTTTAAGCTGCAATTGTTTCAACCAAGAAGGTAATTTGATTGTATCTAGCTAAAATGCTCATATGCTATGACCTAACAATTTGACTGTAGAATACATATGTTAATGGATACATACGTAAGAGTTTAAAAAAAGAACTAGAAGGATACTTAAACTCATAATAATAGATACTTCTAGGGGGGACATACCAGAGGAAATAGGCCTGGGGGTGGCAGTCAAATGGCACTTCCACCGTCTTAGTGATCTCTTATTTAAAAAAAAGATAGAAAAAAAGATCTGGGAAAAAAAAAATGCCAAGTCTCTAGAAGATGGATTATTGTTATATTATTATTTGTACCTGTTTATATTTTTCCCAAAATGTTAAATTCTTTCCTAAGAATAGTACGAACAGTCTTACTACTATATTATTTAAACATGTAATTTAGTATATCAAAAGTTTTTTCATAATACCTGAATGTCATGTAAAATATTTGCATGTAAAAAAAAAAAAAAGTACTAGAAATATAAATGAGGTTTTAAATAATCCAGGGGAAGAGCCTGAAATTTATGAAATTTTATAAGCATGATTTGAAACTACCCAAAAGTTGGCTGGATCAAACTAGTAAACAAACAAAAAATACATCTGTATGGCAAATACATCTAAGTGAGGTTGAAAGAACAATAAACTGGGGCTGGTGGTGGTGAAGGATGTTACAACATATATGAATGAATTCTTATGTAGAAAGTGCTCCTAAAAACAGAGATGAATACTCTAAACAAAAATACAAAGACATAAATATGAAGAAATACAAATGAAAACGTGAAAAATGTTAGAGTTCAATGGTAATCATGGAAATTCATGCAAATTGGCAAAATAAAAAAAGAATATCCCAGTGAAGTCAGGGTATGGGAAACAGGTTGCCATTGACTCTCTTAGATGGCCAACAATCACAATTTGGTGATATTGGCATCACTGTCAAAATGTGCATACTTTTAAAATCTATCATTCATATAAGTGGGGATTTATCCTGATGAAATAATTAGGCAAATATGCAAATATCCATTACAGTGTTTTATATAAACAGTAGTCTTCAAATGTGGGTCCATGTGTTCCTGAGCCCACTTGACAGGGCATGTGAGCAAGGATACTTTTATCAATAAAATACTTTAAATATGTATAATAAAAATATATCATCTTATGATAAAATCCTGTAGAGGAAGTGATACAAAGGAATTGAAGGAGGAAAAGTAAATGATGTAAAATTTCTGCCTGTTAAAGAACAGCTTTAAATAAATGATGGTGGGTATGAAAAAGCAATGATATTTATACTTTCATACATTTAAGGATGATTTAAAAGTTTTATTTTAAAATGCTATATTAAAAACAAAATCCAGAAATTACATGCTTTCCAACTATGATGAAAAATTTAGATGTCACCTTAAAGATGTGTAAGGACATATATGGGCTTTCAATATTTTGGGGGACAGTATGTAAGCAAAAAAGTTTTGGAGATACTTGATATACCAAATATTTGAAAATAGCTAGTTCATTAATAAGGAATGGCTAAATAAATAATGGTATATTCGTACATTGGGATATCAAGAAGGGTATCAAGAAGAAGGATCTATATTCACTAACAATGAGATCTCCCCATATAATTTAAACATATTTTTATTATTTTAAATTTAGCATCATAAAGACCACTGTTTTTTTGTTTTTGTTTTTTTAAATAAATAGCCCTTAAAATTCTGGTCAATGATAAAAATTGTATAAGTATACACCATCATGAGAGACAAAAAATATCCACCAAACTCTTATATCATCTCCAATTTTTAAGATTTCAAACCACAAGATTAAATAAATGAATAGAGGTAGTTTTTTTTTTTTTTTTTTTTTTTTTTTTTTTTTTTTTTTTTTTTTTTTT